TTGTCCAGCCCTGGCACAGCTGCCCAGGGCAGGGGTGAGTGTCCATGCCCAGAAGGGTTTGAAATCCACCTGGCTGTGGCCTTTCCCAGCCTCACTGGATCTGTGATTTTAGGGATTGAAGCCCCATGCTGGGCTGGGCAGTGATGTTGTCTCTGCACATGGCAGAAGTGAGTTTGTCTCTTCCTCTCACAGACTTTATTTTGGGCTTATTCAACCACTTGTCCTGAAACCTGTTGGAAGAGCAAACCCTTGGGATCTCTGCTCCAGGATGAAATGGAGTCTGAGCTGGGCAGTGTGTGCAGGAGGGAGCAGGATGGACAGTTCAGGAACTGGGGCTCTGGCTACCTGACCTTGGTTTTTCCTGAGACTGCAGCTGCAAGCAGCCAGGGAGCAGCAGCACTTGTTAAAGCTGTCAGTTCACAGCTCCTCAATTCTTCTTTTATGTTTGGAGAACCTAACTCGGCCCATCAATAAGGGCTCTTCTGTTCCCACTGTCAGTTAGAGGCTGATTTATGTCCTGAAACAGGATGATTTAGGTCTCCTTCACATTTTTCTTCCAAGCTGCTTGCCAGTGGAAGTGGGGATTCCTGTCATTTGTCCATGGACAGTCCTCCAAGGTCCTGCCCAGCTCTGGCTCTCAGTGTGTCTTGCACACTCACCAACTGTGAAAAGAAAAAAACCCCTTTTTTTCCATATCTGGAACCCAGATATTGCTTTTTATTTTTCATTATCATATCCCCTCACAGCAGACCTGGTAAAGATTAATTTGATGCTGATTTCTGCCTTTCAAACACAGGTGAAGCAGGGTTTTTTTGCCAGATTTTCAGTTTTTGAAGGGGTCTCTCCTTAGAGGACAACCTGGCATTGAGTAGGGTCAAGATCAGGCTGAAGCCTGTCCTGGGCTGGGCAGGATCAAGGAAGGCAGAAGCCTTTGATGGGGAAAAGCCACATCCATGTGGCAGGAATGCAGTTTAATTCACAAATCAGGGGAAAAAAGGAAAAATTTGTGATTATCAGCTTCCCCATGTTTAACTAGTTTTTTGTTTGTTTCCAAACTCCTTTTGAAGTTCTCCAAAACAATCTCCCTGTGCAAGCAAACATGGGTTTCAAAGCTTTGCCTTTGGATTCAGGAGACCAACCCCTGCCCATAGGTTTGCAGTGTGTTGCATTCTCTCTGCTTTTAATCTTTATTAAAGGGCTGTAATTTGGGTGATTCATTGTGAATTCAGCTGGCAATTTCCTTGGCCTGAACACCTTTTTGCACTTGGAGAGGCCATTGTCTGCCCAGAGCAGATCCCTGGGGTCCTGTTCCATGCAGCACAGCAGGGTTCTCACAGGAACACCTCTGGGAATCAGGAATTCCTTGATTCAGTCCGAGGGAGGCTGTGCCAGCAGGACTGAACAGCGAACCCCTGCTCTGTGATGTGGGAACTCAGAATGAGGGAGGCAGCAAGGGGCTCTCCTAACCCAAATCCAGAGCAAGTGAGGTGGTGTGGCCTCCAAAAAACCTGATGGAGTGAGACAAGATGCATCCTGACACATCAAAATCTGCAGAAATGGCAGAACTTAACACTCCTGGGCTCAGGAATGGCAGAAGTTAACATTCTTGGGTTCAGGAAAGACGAAGTTAACACTCTTTGGCTCAAGAGTGGAAAATTTAGCTCTCCTGTGAGCTCAGCCACTCTGGGCTTTCCAAGCAGCCTCAGTGAGCTGGAAAAGGAATGGAGCAGGAGCATGATGTGGTGTTTGGACAAGATCCTGCCCAGCTCTGCCCCTGAGGGATGGGTTTGTGCCACCCCACTGCCTGGCTCTGGGTGATGTCCCTGCCCCGGGGCCCTTCCCACCCCTCCGGGCCTGGGGAAGGGTGGCTGAGCTGCTGGGAACGAGAGGTGCTTCCTGCAGGACCAGCACAGTCTGGGGGCTCTGGGCAAGGCAGGTGGGACCAGGGGCTGATCCAGACTCTGCTCCAGCTCCTCTCACCTGAAATGCCTTTCCCTTGGTGCTTTTTGGAAGTCTCTGTCTTTCCATCTCATCTGCACAAACCTGATGTTTCCATGAGAAACAGACCTTGAGCAGGCTCAGGGACAGTAAAATCAGTGGTGCCACTTCCACTGGGAAACCAAAACCCACCAGGAGTGAAATGAGCTCCTGCAAGGCTGAGGGAACGATGCTGACCCCAGCAAGCCCAGCTGGCACCTCGCTCCTGCAAACACCGACTGCTGCTGGGGCTGAGCATCTGCCCAGCTGCAAACCCTTCCAGAGGGGAAGAGACAGGCTCAGATGGGGCCACCTGCAAGATTTAGGGTGGAGGACAAGTGCAAGATTTAGGGTCTGTGGAAAAGAACACATGAAAAAACCTGTGACCCAAACTTCACATTAGTGGTGCCCAGTGAAGCCAACACTGAAACTGTGGCAAATGAGGGGTTTGAGCTCACTGCACAAGGAACATCTCCTCTGTTTTGGCCATGGATCTGCTCATTCTAAAGAAAAGGGGAAAGTGAATATTTGCAGTCAAAAGCCAAAATTCCATGATTCCAGGATGGCATCAAGCTGAGGTTTGAGCTCACTGCACAAGGAACATCTCCTCAGTTGTGACCATGGATCAGCTCATTCTAAAGAAAAGGGAAAAAACAAATGTATCAGTCAAAAGCCAAAAATTCCATGAGTCCGGGGTGGTATCATGACATCCATTTGCCCCTCACCACAGACTCCCAGGCTGACAAAAGAGAAGGAATAAATTCAAGGTTTATTTCAGAAACACAGGGAGTCAGCTAAAAACACAAACAAGGCTGAGGCTCTTCCCAAAGTGGAACAGCTCAGCCTGGCCAACTGCAAGCCTGAGCCTGACTGTGTTTGATCTGGGAATCAGATTTAGCCCACACCATCCCAATGAAAAATATCACACGTGGTCTGCACTTCAGGCTATGTTCCAATATCTGAAGGAAGGGATCTTTTAATTGAAAACCTTAATGTTTCTCGTTATATTTAAAATTAGAGCAGAACGGCAATAAAATTGGTCATGGGATTGAAACAAGTTTTCAGGGAGGGAAAGAAATTTATTCTTCATTTTTTACATTGAGGCATTTGTTAAAGGCTTGGGCATATTTGATTACGTCAATGCAAGGATTAATAATTAAAGGAACAACAACCACATGCCTTGGAGAGACACATGAGCAGCTCAGGCTGGAGCCTCTGAGGACACCCTGCTTTGCTGGAATCTCACCCCTGCCTGCTGCCCCTCAGTATTTAGAGAAGCATTTTCCCAGAAGACTCTGCCAGGTGATGCCTTTCCCAGGAATTTTCAGCTGGTGCCTAAACCCAGGGAATTGGTACCAACACTTGGTATCAAACTGACTTTGAAGGAAGACTCTGCTGTTCCCACAGTTTATGAGGGGTTCAAAGAGAAGTGTTCAGGGTGACAGCCTCCAGCCCCCAGCAGGAACCTGGCAGATGGTGATGCTCTAAAACCCCCACAGCTCCGAGTCAACATTGCCCAGGACCGATGGAGAAGGAGACTCCAAAGCCGCCTCCTCTCCATGCCCAGAGGCAGATGGGAGTCCGCAGGCTGTGGCTGGGGGATGGAGCTGTTCTGCTCCCAGCATGGCCTCTGGCCAAGCAGAACCCTTAGATTTTGCTCTGTGGATCTGTCCAGCAGCCCCAGGGCTGCGAGCAACTTCCCAGGCACTGAAGGTGGCTCAAAGCCTTGGACTGGGGGACAGAGTCTCCGACTCCAATGTGGTTTTCCCAACCAGGCCCAAATCGCTCTTCCCCTCCCTCCCCATCCATCCTCCCTCCATGGTGGGAATCTTCTCGTTCATTAATAACCTGCTAATTATCTCAGCAGCTTGGAGCTGGGTTGCTGCATGGAATTAGAACCAGCTTTTCCTTTTGGCACCCACCCCTGGGTGTAATTAATGAGGCGAGAGGAAGCCAGAACACGCGGGTCAGCCCGGAGAGCACGGCACGCACTGGTCAGACATTCAGAGCGGGATGTTCCAAGACGGCCTCGGGGAGAGAGGGTGGCATTTTGGGGTCAAACTGGGCAAAAGAGAAAAAGAAGAAGAAGAAAGATGTCCTCCTTGTTTCCTTTGGTTTTCCCCATTCAAGCTCAAAATCTGGACCAAGGAGTGCTCCATGGAAACCCTGCTCTTCATCCCCTCTTTCCTTTTTTTGGGAAAGCTGGATGGAAGGCTGGCACTGTGTCTTGGCCATCCCTGCCCTGCTGAGCAGCCCGAGGAGCACTGAGAGCCCAGCTTGTTGCGGATGAGTGTTTTCATGGATGTCTGGAGAGTGACTGGAACTGGAGAGGGACCTGGAGCTGAAGGAGGAACCAGCGTCACTCGCACGCCGCCAGTGCCAGGCTGTCTCCCCACTGCCTTGGCATCAGCAAGTGGCCTCCAAATCCAAATGGAATTGCTTCCCTGCTCACGGGATGTGAGCAGGAGGCTGAGGACCCCGTCTTGCAGAGATGGGCTGGGGTGACGCAGCCCTTCCCCTTCCCCTTCCCCACAACCCTGGGTGACGCAGCCCTTCCCAACAGCCCCGCTCCACCCAGGGCTGGCACTGGGAGGGCAACGCCTTTGGGCACTGCCACAGGGTGGTGGCATCACCAGGACAGAGGGACACGATTCTCCTCCTCCCACTTCTCTGGGGCACTGGTGGAGCACAAACTTTGCTCCGCGCACCCTCAAAAGCGCTCGGGCTGCCCTCGCCCACCCTGCTGCCTGTGGGATCCCCTCTCGCCACGCACCGTGCCTGCTGGAGCGAGCCTTGATTTCCAGCTTGCTGCTGCTGCTGCCAGCGCAGCTCCCGGTGCTGCCGGATCCGGCCCCGCGGGCTGCCAGGATGCCCCCGACGGGCGGCAGGAGGATGCTGGCACTGGCAGGCCCGGGCGGCAGCGCGGCGCTCGGGGGGCAGCAGCAGTGCCAAATTGGGGTTCTAGCCCTTTAAATCCGATCCGGTACTGCAAAAAAAGGACGAGCGAGCAGGAGAGAGCCTTCAGACTCTTTTAATTAAAGCTTGTACCGTATTCTGTATTCCCAAGTCACGGCAGCCGCCCGCGCTTCCCCAGGACACCTCGGGCTCCGTCTCCGGCACGGCATGGACGGGCACCGCGGCTCACCGGGCACCGGCGGCTGGAGGTACGCGGAGGGACGGGGCTGCGGGCACGGCTTCTCCTCGCTCCCGGCTGCCGGCTGGGAGCATTCCCCTGCTTTTCCCATGTGTTTTCCTTTGCCGGGGAGAAAGTGTAACGCGTGGCTGTGGCTCACGCGGGGCCGGTGGCAGGAGGAGCCCTCCCACCGCGCACCTGGGGCCCGGGGCTGCCTGTCCTGCCACCTCCGCTCCCTTCCCTCTCCCCTCCCTCCCTTGTAAATAATTGAGTGCATGACCCAGAGTTGTGGCTTTTTCCCCCCTCGCTGCTTAAATCCCGGAGCTGCCGCTCAGCAGAAGCTAAGTTGGGATGCCTGGCCCATAAATCACGGCAGAAGTTGGTCCCCGCCGCGCTGCCGCCGCTCAGCTCCTCTCCGTCCCCCGTCTCTCCCAGGTTAGGGGAGTTTTGCCACATCCTTCCATGCGCATTGCACTCGCAATGCAGAGCAGTTCTGGAGAGCCTCGCGGAGCGAATCCCGGGTTATTGGGAACGACAGCGTTGTTTGCACGCCGGAGTCTCCATTCCCCAGCACTGTCACCCACCCCAGCCTTCGCTGGGCTGATAAATCGCCCTTCAGCAGGAGCCCTGTGCCCAGAGAATATTTAACTGTGAACTGCCCCACTCAGCCAGTGATTTTCCTCTCCCCCTCTCCTCCTTAACCGAGTTTATTTTTTCCACACAACGTGGCTTTTTCCTTAAATTATGGACAGTCGTTCCTTCATCCCCGTTTCAGGTGGGTGCATCCTTAAGGTGCCCTGACCATAATGAGAGCCTGTTTGAGTCCTTGCAGCCGAGTCCCAGGTGAGGCTGGATCCCTGGGAGCCTCTCTCCCTCCGGGATCCATGCAGGAGAGAGGCTGTGCCAGCAAACATTTATCCTGGTGCCTATTGGAGGTTAATAACACTTTTGACAAATAGCAGCCTCCTCGAGGCTTGAAATAGGATTGGAAAAGCAGCCACTAATCTCCTTGAGAAGTGCTCGATGGTGGCCACCTCTCAGGAAATCAGGAGAGGAGCTGTTTATGTTCTGCATGTCGAGGCGTTAGCACAGCAAAAAAATCCCGCTTTTCTTAATCCACCAGGAAAAAACTCTTGCCTCACATTCATCTCCCAGGGTGGAGGGCTCAGGGAGGGAATCCTGTGAGCTCAGCACAGCCCAAAGCCCATAGGACCGTGGGGCTGCACAGCTGGGTCAGGAAAATGGGGTTTTTCTCCTCACCAACGGTGTTTGCCATCAAGGAGAGAGAGACGGGCCAGGGAACTTGGAAGTGAGCAGGGAGAGCAGAGCCGTGGATCAGAGAATGAGCATCTGAGCAGCAGCACCTGCAGGGATCAGCTGGTTTGTGGGCAGCAAAACACTTTGCCTTGAGCAGTGAAGGAGTAAAATTTGGAGAGGAGGGGGCACAGAGCCTGCAAGGAAAAGCAGAGGTGCCAGGACAGAGGGAAATCCATGGCACGGCTCCGTGCTGAACTCATGGAGTTCAGCATGTTCAGCATGAACTCATGCACAGGCAGAGGGATGCTGGGCACCCCAGAGCTTTCGTTTCCTTGCTTTCCTCATCAGTTCCTACCCCTTGGTGGTGCTTTAGCCATCTGTGACTTTGGCAACATTAGGAAGGAGAGGTGGGATAATGGCTGCATTGTTCCCAGGTCCAAGGAAAGAAAATGACCTGGCAAGGAAACCTGAAAGTGCCTGAAAGTTAAAAAGCCCTGTTCCCGTGGTCTCAGCGGGGCTGCAGGCGAGCTCTTCTCGGGTGGGGCCCCTGAAACCTGTTCCCTCCATCCTGCAGAACTGGAGAACACCGAGCAAGGTTTGCAAACCACCAAAAAATACAGGCAGCGTGTTGAAAGATGAACAAAATGTGCATCTTTTTTCAGCAAAGCAGCTCAAGCACACGGAGGGTGGGGAGTAATTATTTATAGTGCCATCAGCAGAAATAATAGAATGAATTGAAGGGCTGAAAAGTTTTGCTGACTCTCAGGGAATGTGTCCTGGCACGGACGGATCATTCCCGGGCCCAGCCCTTCGTATCTCCAGCGCTCCCAAGAGCAGCCTTGGAGACACAGCAGAGCCTGGGATCCAGGGAGAGCAGCGGGGAGCTGCTCCCAGAGGGAGGATGGACCTTCCGTGGCAGCTCCCAGCTCCCTCCCGAGCCTCCTGCGCTGCCCGAGGCCGGATCTGTGTCCCGCTGGATGCCTGAGCACGGGAGGAGCAGCGCACTGCCAGGGGAAGGGCTGGGTGCCCAGGTTTGGCTTTTCCATTTCTTTCTGGGGACACTGAGATTAAGAAGGAGGTGAGGGGATGTTTTTGAGGTCAGCAATTAGTGTGATCCGGTGTTTTGTGCTCTGGAACTGAACTCAGAGTGCAGGGTTTCAGTCACTCCTGAACCCAGGAGTTGGGAGGGTTGGCAGGCACGGACAGGGAATTGCTCACCTGGAATCTATCAGTTAATGGTGATCTGCACCAGGGTTTCTTTTCTAAAGGGAAATAATTGAGTTTGAAGTCCTCTTTGTGGGGATGAAAAGGCCTCGTTGGCATTTTCCCTCCTTTTCTTCACCCAGGAATGGTGAGGAGTGTCAAGCTTGTCTCTCCCCATCCGGGCTGATGTTGGAGGTGGCCACTGAGGCTGATGCAGGTGGCAAGGGTGAATTTGAACCCTGACTGAGCAGCAGACCCTGAGCAAGAGTAGCAGAGTCCCCAGCATTCCCCAGGGACAGGCTGGACTCTGTAGGACAGTTTCTGAGCAGCCCCAGAGCTCTTTCCTTCCCCTGGCTCCTTGATAGCACCACCAGGGAGCATCCCCAGGTGGGCACAAAGGACTGAATTGAAAGGTCCCACCAGGCTTTTTTCTCCATCTTGCCCCGCCTGCCCATCTCCAACCAGCTGAGATTTTCCTGCTCCAAACTAGAGCTGAATATCTGAGGAAGAGGCAGAAAAATAATTCTATTTTTATTGTTGGCAATAACCTTTCCTACCTCCTTGACTCTGTAGAGTGGAAAGAGCCCAGGCACAGAAGGCAGAGCTCTCATTTCTGCTTTCCCTTTGCCAGTCACCTTTAAACAAAAGGAACCCAGCAGGGTGTCTGGAGCAGGAAGGGACCAATATGGATCTGGCGGAGATAAAACCTAAATTTACTACTTTGTGCTGCTAGAATCTAATAGATTCTTCTATTTAGAGCAAGAGATGTTTGTCAAGCTCATTCTCCATCACTGGCAGGGTATTGCAGTTAGAATTAGTCTGACAAATTAAAAGCAGTCTAGAGAAGTCTGAAGTGGTAAAAACACAGCATATGAGTGAAATTGCACAGTTATTGAGGGAAATGCTTGAGGGACAGACACCAGCACGCTGTGTCAGGCTGGGGATGACAGAGCCACTGCCAGGGAAAGGCAGGATCCCGACATGGACCTGCAGGGATGGATCATCCTAATCAGGGTCATCTGCTGTGATCATCTCAGGTGGCCTTTCAGAGCAGATCATCCACCTCATGCTCTGCTCTTGTCTTCTTTGGTGTTTTTACCATTTTTTTTCCCCTCCTTCAGGACGTGTTTTAGCCTTTTGAGCAGAAGCCACTCCCAGTACATTATTTTAAGCCCCCACTTGAATAGAAGGAGGTGAGAGGCTGCCCAGACAATGCAAACCTTGTGTTCCATGGTCACCCAGAGACTGCCAGAAATCCATGTCTGCTGGAGGCTGGTCTTTAAATAGAGTTAAATCGTGTTGGGAGCCCTGGGGACCCTTGAGAGCAGAGTTTCAAGAAAGTCATGTACAGATGTTGCCCAGTTTGATGCAGGTTTCACCCTTTAAATCCTCTTGTGCTCAGAACTGACTGACTCTGGGTCGCTCCTGGCTCCAGCCAAAGCCTGGACTCCAGTCCAGACCTGCCCAAGTGCTCTGGGAGCCTGAGGCACGGTGTCAAAGGGATTAATAAACCCTCAGGAGCTGCTGATGCTTCACTGGGAGCTGGCGGGAGGCCCCTGCTGATTTTGGAAAGGTTTCTCCTGGAGGCTCCACTGCAGGAGCAAAGGCAGGAAGGGGCTGGCACCCCCAGAGCTGCAAATGAAACAGGAACCTATTCAGAGTGTGCTTTTATTTTTGCTGCCTCATAAATCCACTGTGGCAAAGCAGCCTACGGAGCTGGAAAGAGATTAACTTGGGAAGAGGGAAGGTGTCCCAGGGGTTAAGCATGACAAAGCTGCTGGTTCTTAAGAGCAAGGAGCTGCCGTGGAGCTGCTGCTGTAGTGGAGGAGTCACCCGGCCTGGCTGCCCCCGGGGTGTCTGTGGCTTGTAATGATCTGCAACCCCCCTGACACCTCAGCGGGCTCCAGGCCTGGGGCTGTGCAGGAGACACCAGGAGAGTGTCACAGAATCCTGGAATGCCAGGCTGGGCCGGGCTGGGCGGGAGCCCAGAGGTCCCTGGTGCCACCTCCCTGCTCAGGCAGGGCCATCCCAGAGCACAGGGCACAGCATTGTGCCCAGAGGGCTCTGCAGTATCCCCGCTGAGGGAGACTCCAGCCCCTCCCTGGGCAGCCTGTTCAGGGCTGGGCAGTGCCCAGGGCAGAAGTTCTGCCTCCTGTGCAGGGGCAGTTCCTGGGCTCCGTCCCTGCCCGTGGCTCTGGTGCCACTGCTGGGCCTGGAGCAGAGCCCGGGCCCTGCTCTGCCCCTCCCTGCACACAGGGACACCCAGGGCTGAGGGCCCCTCTCAGCTGGGGCTCCTCTCCAGGCTCAGCAGCCCCAGCTCCCTCAGCCTTTCCTGGGCACCGAGATGCTCCAGGCCCTCCTCATCCTCCCAGCCTGAGCTGGCCCCGCTCCAGGAGCTCTGTCCCTGCTGTGCTGAGGATCCAGAGCTGGACACAGCACCCAGAGGTGCCCCCAGGGCGGGGCAGAGGGGCAGGATCCCTCCCTGACCCTCTGGCAAGTGTCAGCATGGGCAGGGATCGACTGTCAGTGGTGGCTCCTGGGAAGGGCAAAGTTCCTCTGTCCTGGTGATGG